TATTATTCATACTCATACACTTGTGAAACGCCCCACGAATCATCCCAACCGGTTTATACTTAATTTTTTGTTTCAAGGTTATCTGTCTAAGACCTGAATCGCTCTATAATTACAAAATACATCATGAGTGGGGTGTTTCCTCAATGCAGTTTTTATTAATGGAGGAATGCAAGCGATGCCAAAATTTGATCTCTCTAATTTAATTCTATTTCTTGTTCATTTTTAATGACATTCAATAATAGATATATCAATTTCTGTTTAATATTGAAATGGATTTTAAACCAAATCAAGTCGAGGACGCTTCATAGGTATAATAGCAATGACGCATGTAAGCGGCAATATGAAATATGGTATTCTGCGAAGAGAAATTGCCTTTTTTTTTCTCGTGAACAGCGGTTAACCACAGAAATTTTGGCCACAGTTATCGTCGTCCTTCAAAGATCTTGATCGTTACTTTTAAAGCCCGTTGTTAAACGACGATTTACTACTAATAACGATTTCATAAGACAACATTATGACTAGTCGATTCTTGCGACACGCTTGCTGTAGCACAAGTGTCATTATCGTATTACTTGTATTGAACTACATGATATTGAACTAACGATGAAATGATTGGAGACGGTTTCTTTAACTATTCAATTTTTACGTATTTATAACGTGTGGTCATAAAATTACGACCCATTATTAGTATTAATCCGGAACCTTTCGCAAAAACCACATTTTTGCGTCAGTAAAATAAAAAAGATTGGCCTAAGATACTAAAACTAATCTTTTCAACGATTCAAAATCAATCAGACGATAATAAAAATGGCAAAAACCTTTTTATTATTGCAAATCATTACAAAAGAAAATTTCTGTGAATCTCCCAAGAGATTGATTGATGTCGTTAGATTGATTTTGAACCACTGAAAAGATTAGTTTTAGCATCTTAGGCCAATCTTTTTTACTTTACTGAGGTAAATATGTGGTTTTTGCGAAAAACTGGATGTTCCAGATTAATACTAATAATGGATCATAATTCTATGATCACAAGAATCATAACATGCAGATCGACCGATCATTAAGGAATCTAATTAGTTTGGCCTGTGCAAGGAGAATAGCAATAGGGAAAGGCATTATTGATTTCAAAAACAGAAAGTTAAGGCTTCTATATGAAATAAAATTCAATGAACTAAATAAACAAGGAGCATACAAGCCTACGCAAGGTCTTTTTAACGGAAATTATATTTAAATTTTCTTACATATGGTGTGTGATAAATTTTTTAGATTTAATTAGTCCATTTTCATTGCAGTATGATGATCGCAATGATTACAAAATTGATGACTTACAGATACATAATATAACTTTCTACCTATGTGTTTGTGTCGATGAAGAATGTGTTTGTGCTACAGTAATTCCTCTTATTTGTAATGTAGTCCATGAGTTGATTCACATCACTTGATTTTCAGTCATCAACAACTAAACCAATGAAAAAAAAAAGTAATAACACAGTTTCTAATATGAATCAAAATAATAATCTCTCCCTCAAAATTTTTCACAATACCATACATTAAGGACATCTCAAAGAAATTTAAAACTATGTTTAAAAAAATTAGATTTAATATTACTTATAAACCTATACTCTTACTTAATAGACTTATAAAAATAGGCAAAGACAAGCTTGAAAAAACGGCACCTATTAAAGTGATGTATAAAATCAACTGTCTTAATTGCGAGGCTATATATATGTAGGCTAAACAAAAAGGCAATTAAGCCTATGGCACACGATGCTTGTTTTCTTGCTGATTTAGCTGATAGATCCGTTGCGTGCTGCTTTGTGATCTACGTTGCGTACAGCTGTGATGGAAGTGTTGCTAGTCATGGCTTCACACGTGTTAACTCACTTGCGAGTTAACTTGATGCTTGATGAACAATATACAAACGTACACATGTAAGATGTAATATACAATATAATATAAGAATTATATTGAAACATAAGAGAAAATAGATCATAAACACAATATATATATTTTTTTAATGATCTATTTTCTGTATAATATATATATATATTAATATATATTATACAGATCTTAATTCTTTGTGCAGGATTAATTGTTAAGGTAATTTGAACTATATGTTTCTACGCATTAATCACTTTCTCGCTCAAATTCTTCTTTTTTTATTTTTTTATTTTGTTCTCATTCTCTAGTTGCTATTAACATGAGAGCAACCGCAGCTAACCTTTGCCTTCTAATAGCTTCCATTTTTCCTACAAATTCTTATTCTTACTTTTTTATATGTTTATTAATATTATTACGTAAAACATACGTTAAATATTGTCTTCTCCTTGAATGCTACTTTCTATGTATATTCTAACCTAAATTCTTTACCTATCTAGCAACAAATCTCGTAAGAAAAATAGCACCGGATCTATCATTGAAAACTAGCATGCTAGCACGCACGGTAGCACGCAGTACACCATGTTTTTAACAGCGTAACTTGCAGCACGGCTGCTAGAAGCATAACGCCTCATGTGTTGCCGGCTTTACAAACCAAAATCAAAGAATATATTAGATATAGATTGAAAAAAATTGCAAGGGGTCGTTATCAGTTATGTCCGGTCATTGGGAAAAAATTACGAATTTGATTAGGATAGAGTTTCAATTTTGATATAGAACCATCATATTATAAAAAAATAATTTCTGATATGATTTACATAAAAAGCAGAAATTCAGTATTAATAAGCAGAATGACACAGATAAAGTAATCATTAATATATATGTGTATCCCCATTTTAGAGAGAAGTTCTCCCACTTAATATTGTACTATTTCCCTCTCCCACAGCTCCCTATTTCGTACAAAACATATATTGTTCCACAAAGACTACCTCTCTCTCAATCTTTGTGTGTCAGGACAGTGTGTTTATCATCATTCAATCTATCTCTATTGAGAATATATATATAAAATAAATTATATTCCTGGATTAATATATCGGTTTACACAGGTAACAATTTTTTTAATTTATACTCACTCAATATTACGGATTTAGATGCAATATTTTCATTTGGATAAAATCAAAATACATTATGACAATTATTGATACACTATATTCATTACTTTAAACTAAAAAGCGCCAATAATGGTCTGAACATTAAGATGTTGAACTATTTTAAATTCATTTTTAAATGAATTAATTTCAGAAATTATAATTGCGTGCCGATATGGTTGTCGGACTTTCAACGCAATCAAATCTGAAATATTAATAATCCCCGAAAGAAACCCCCGAAAAAAATTTTTCGCAATAAGTTTATTACAGTTTTTAAGTTGGGAATTTTGGGGGGATTATTAATATTTCAGATTTGATTGCGTTGAAAGTCCGACAACCATATCGGCAAGCAATTATAATTTCTGAAATTAATTCATTTAAAAATGAATTTAAAATAGTTCAACATCTTATAATGTTCAGACCGTTATTGGCGCTTCTTAGTTTAAAGTAATGTATTTAACATAAGCGGTCTTCCAATCTTATTATTGTTTACACTATATTCATTTTATATAATTTCTGTGTTAGATTGATGTAAAAATATGAACTAAACACATCTGTAAAATATAATAATTTTTTAAAAACAATAACTTAACAAGATTTTTTAACAAATTTAAAAGAAGAGCACATTATAATTTAATAAATAACTTACTCATGTGTATACTTTAATCCTGGAAAAGGATTTTTGAATCTGTGAAAAAGGAAAAAAGTATTTGTTATACAAAAATTACGATTTAGTCGGTAATACAGACGGCTTTAGGATCCCCTTAAACGTCTTTATCAGCAAATTTTAAAAGTTTAAACGTTATTTCTAAGAAATAATATAATTAATCACATTCTAAAAAAGAATTAAAATATATAATTACGATCAGAGCAATATAAGTAATTATAAAAAATATTATTAAATGTAATTAGTGTTAAAAGAAAAGACCTTTTGGTCTATTTATAAAATTCTAAAGATTTAAAATAAATTATATCTTACGTAAACTGCTCGTTGAATGCTAATTAAAATTGCATACACATATACGTATCTTATGGCCGTTGCAATCGCCCGTTGCAATTTAGGAAAAGGCGCAAACAAGTTTCCATCCTTTTACCGCCCCTCGCGTAATTTATATTGTCATTAGGACTACCAAGGACAGTCGAGGAGAGACGAGCATAACAATGCATAGCACTTTCATAGTCATTTGTTTTTTAAACGCGAGTTTGCTGAATAACTGCAACAGCTTGCAGTACCAATGTTGCAACCATTCATAGAGTAATCTAGTCTTTTCTTCTTACAAGCTTCTTTGAACTCATAATTTTAAATTTATGTATGATTCATAAATTTAAATTAATAAAATGATTAAATTCTTATGTAAGATACTAAATGTTTTTTCACCAGTTTTTCTTTTTTTATTATACATTTATTTTAGCTCTCCATAAAAAAGGATCATATAAATATTTTTTATCATTATTATTGTTATTATTATTATTATTAAATATACATTATATGCTTTATCAAATTAGACTTTTACATTTTATTAGTATTTGTAAATTGTTATTAGAATGTTATCAAAATAAATTCTTCTGTATCTTGAACTTCTTCTAAAAATGTATTTACGCTTTGATCATATTATTATCGTTTTTGAAACGCAATTCTATGGTAGCTGAAACAGTAATATTACAAATTAAATTGATATTTGGTAATGTTTATCTTAAAACACTGCAAAGAATACCGCAATAAATTTTTTGCAGTGATTTAAACTTATTATTATTAAATTATGTATCAATTTAGTTTCTACTATTATTATTTCAGTTTCCGTTTAGGATTACGTTTTAAAATGTACAATAATCAGTATACAGGTATAACATAGGTTGTATAACATAGGTTGTAGAAAAGAAATATATTTAAAATTTCCACAGAAATATAAAATGTATTTTTGAGGAATCAAACATTGATATTTAAAAACTAATTTATAATGTGTATTTTTGCAGATTTACAAAGACAGACTACGAGATGTCGTACATTGTGGAGTGGTATAGAGATGTGATCGACAACAAATATGGTGATTTTATAACAAAATTACATTTGTGAAAAATAATATTATATGATAACGTTATATTGAATTAAATTTAGTTATGTTACATAGTTACATTATGCGTTAAAACTCTTATGTTTTTATAGATCCAAGAACACAAGAATGGTTTCTGGTACCTAGTCCTGGTCCAGTTCTAACGATCATAACAACGTATATATACTTTTGCGTTTCCGCCGGACCGAGATATATGAAGGACAAGAAGCCATACGATTTGAGAAATACTCTAATAATTTATAATTTTATCCAAGTTCTTGCAAGCCTTTATCTTGTTTACGAAGGTTTGATGGCTGGTTGGTTGTACGAGTATAATTTTATTTGTCAACCAGTCGATTATTCATTTAAACCGAGTTCAGTGAGGGTAAGTCTGAAACACGTTATTAATATAATAACTCTATAATAATAATAATAATAATAATTCATAGAGCACGGAAATAATAATAATAATAATAATAATTTATATACAGTATGAAATAGTTTAGAGGTATTGCAGTAATATTGCAATCTTATAAATTATAGTGCAAAGGACATCTCCCTTTCCTTTCATATTTATACACTAAAATTATTTTTAGACACCTAATATGTAATATTGCTGCATGTACGTAATGACATTGCATTAATATACTATGATATGTTACATGTCAAGTTTTCTCAAAACGGATGTTTTTATTGCTGCTCCAATATCACAATAATATTACAACATAGATCTAATGCTACGCAATATATTTGCTACTTGGCGATGTTTTATGCTGTATAATTAAATTATAATAATAAGACTTTTGGAGACATTCGTATTTTTGTGACGCGACGGGTTCCTACCATCGCACCCGTTATTGCGACAACTTTAAACCGGTGCTCGAATTCAGTGTAGATTTCAAGTCCGCTTTAAGTGAAAGAGCATTCCGTTCTGCAAGAAGAAAATGTTGCTTGACTTGATAATTACAATGTATCATTAGTTCATATCATTAATAATATCCGTTTGATCTTTATGTAATTATGCTCTTGTAGATGGCTAATGGCGTTTACCTGTACTTTATGTGCAAATTGATTGAGCTACTGGACACGGTGTTCTTTGTTTTGCGCAAAAAAGATCGACAGATCACGTTCCTGCATCTTTACCATCATTCGCTGATGCCAGTTTGTGCCTGGATCGGTGTGAAGTTTTTTGCCGGTGGTCACCCGACTCTCCTTGGCGTCATCAACGCCTTCGTCCACGTCTTTATGTACACCTACTACATGTTGGCCGCGTTCGGGCCGCATATGCAGAAGTATCTTTGGTGGAAAAAATACCTGACCATCATGCAGATTGTACAGTTTATCATAGTATTTTTCCATAATTTCCAAATGCAATTTACTAGCTGTAATTTCCCAAAGCCACTGTCGCTTTTGCTCATGATCAATGCTGGCTTGTTCACTTACATGTTTGGATCATTTTACATGAATAATTATTTGAAATCAAACGTGGGACGGGTATCAAAGACTAATGGCGCTATTAATGGCTCTGTTATTGTTAACGGTAACGCAATTTCCAACAAGATGAAGCATGATAAGTCCAATTAAAAGACTCGCGGAGCCCTTTTGACTATAGGATTGTAATTGTGAGAGTAGAAGAATGATTTTTCAAAGTTCTTTCAAGAATAGTTTATTAGAGAATGGATATTATATATATATATAAATTCTTGTGACATAGATGTAGATAATCAAATGTCATGCTCGCTAAATAACGCGACGTTCTTCCAACCTTAGCATTATTCTGCCAATATTTTTGTAATGCAATGAAAATTATGATTAATATAAAATAATGATATTTTACAAGTATGAGTGAAGATGGATTTGGTTTACTTGTATCAAGAACGATCTACAAGCGATTCTTACAAACTACACGTAATTTATTACAGAGAGAATATTTAATTATTACACTTGCATAAATTTTACAGACACCTTTCTGAGAAGCGCAACGATATTAATACCATGTATAATATGATCTGACATGAAATATTAGATTAAGATAAGTTCCAAATTCTGTTTCAAAGTTTTATCAAGAAATTCATGCTCGCATGATGTAATTAAGATAGGCATTCTGTTGAAATTTATGTTTTAAATTTTATTTCGAAACAGATTTTGTTTTACTTGCAATATGTCTTTATTATGCAAGAGCTATATTTGCAAATTCATTATCAAATCTCTTTTTATGTTGTGAAAAGAGATGAAACATTTGAGATAAAGGTTACATATGATCTTTGATACATACATTTGTATGTATTTGTAGTATATATTTTTATAGTGCAACGTATTTTTACGAAATAATACAAAATTTATACAACATTTATAAAATGTATTTAGTGTTAAAAAATGAAATAGTTTTTTCTGTGTAATTTGTAAAATAACTTTCCCAATTCTAATTATAAGTGTGACAACCACATATAAAATCTTGAATGTTTTATTTGTAGCATCGTATCTATAAAAAGTACAAGTAATTAAACAGCAGTAAGATAAATGTCCCAGTAGCTGGACGTTTAAGCGTAGGTTATCATAAATAGGGTAAGGTTGCCGGAATCGCACCACACTTTTTACTTAAAGGCTCATAACTCAGAAATTATGAAGAATGTTCTTAAGTTTTTTACAGCATAATAAACTGTACTCTTTTCCCTTTCTTATGTAATTTTTTCATAATTTTTTTGCGCTATTATAACGTTTAAAATCAGGATTTTTTCAGTATGGTGCGATTTAGGCAACTAGGAAATTCGTTGCCTAAATCGCATCACACCAATATTCCTCATTTAAAACATTATGATAATGTAAAAAATTTAAAAATTACATAAGAAAAGGAAAAAATTGTATCTTATTATGCTGTTAAAAATTTAAGACTATATTTTTCGTAATTTCTGAAATACATGATAATTTCAAGAAATAATTTAAGGAGTTTCTACGTGAAACAAAATAAACACTTCGTAGATTTACAATATACATTTTTACATAATAATGAATAGAATAAAAATGTAAGAAATGGAAAAATATTAGGTAACGTGCGATTTAAGAAACTAGAGCATTTTTTGAACTTTTATTTATTTTATTTAAAAAAAAATGTAAAACAAACTTTAATCCTATTAATTTAATTTTAATAATATTCTAATCACGACGAATGGTCAAGACTTAGGCTATTTAACTTATATTTTCTGTAATTCTGCTAATATACGTTGAAAAATAGCAACGCTATCACGATTTTTTTATTTATGTAAATAACAACGCTCTTGTTGCACTTCATGTCACGAGTATAATAGAGTAGCATTACAGTATCGTGTAGATCTTAAATAACGCGTAAGAAAGTATATAAATACAATAATTGAATTTTTAAGCGAGGTAGTGCGATTTAAGAGCCGGTGCAATTTCGGCAACTTTATCCTAATTACAATTTATAATATTAGAAAGGTTTTTGATTCAAATATATGTATTCTTTTGAAAACTCGAGACTCCCTTAGGCAAGGAAAAATTACTTGAACTTACAACAATTATTAGTTAAAATATTTAAATAAGTAATAAAACGCGTCAATGTACCAGTGGTCGGACAGCAGGACGTCTGTCCCAGTGTCCGATCACAATTAGAAAATTAGTATGCTGACAGGAAATATTAATATAAATAGATATTAATGCAAAAGACAACTAATTCAAATTGATCTTTGGGATAAAAAGCATTTAAGATTAATATTAATTTAAATAAAGTTTTGCGTAGCTGTCCGGACATAGGTACAGTCCGGTCCCAGTAACTGGACATGTATCTATGTCCGGACACTTACTCAAAACTTTATTTATTTAAGTTGACATTAGTCTGAAATACGCTTTTTAAAATGTAATATTATAATTTAATTGTAATCTTTAAATGCAATTAGATTATAATGCAGTAATAAAAAAAGCATTTGAGATTAATAATAATAAATTTTGTGTAAATGTTCGGATATAGGTATATGTACGGTCACTTAGATGTTTACCTTAACAGCAATATCACATACTAATTTAAAAATTTGCAAGTAGAAGTATATTTCCGTGAATTTAAAAAGTTCTGTATATATAATTAGTTTTTTAATTTCCTCCTCTCTCTCTCTCTCTCCTCTCTCTCTTCTTTCAATTATATTTCTTAATCTTCTTTTATTATTTACTAGAGAGAAAGAGAGAGTGAGAGAGAGTGTTTTATTATAGATTATAGAGAGGATTATATAAATTATATTCATATTATATTCATTTTTAAAATAGTATGTAGGGTAACTCCGGTATACGCCGCACCTATCAAAAACTTGATTTATTAAGTATTATTTACTATGTTTCTAAAGTCTATAATTCTGAAGTAGTAACCTCAAATTCTTGCATTCGTCAGAGCATGCGATAATAAAGCGTAGTTCATATTCAATTGATTTCATAATGATTGGTTGAATATCATCACGTAAGAAATTTTTATTTGATATGTCAGAAAATATGGCAGAAATTTTAAATAAAAATATAAAATGCAGTTGTGTTCTTGTTTCATTCCAAATCGAAAATTGATTTTTATTTAATAAAAAATAAATAAAATTATTTTGTTATTAATAGTATTAAGAGCAAATTTTTCTCAACGTTTTTAATAGTCTCTTTAATAGTTAAAATTGTAAATATTTTAATTACAGTAAAAATAAAAATTAAAGGTATAATAAATATCTTTAGTATAATATATAATAAATAAAAATATAGTAAGTAAAGATATAGTAATCATTTTTATTTAAAAATAATATGCTGTTAGATCTTATAAACTCCTAAATTATTTTTTTAACAGAAATCAAAATTTTTCTTTTTTTTCTCTTTTCCTCGCCCTTAGATATTTCAACAGAGATTGTAAGTTGCCAAAACTTTAACATAATTTTAGTATGTGTTATCTTACTATATTTCTCATGAAAATTATATTAATATGAAATACAATTAAAGTATTTCATTTTAGATTTTTCAATTAGTCTAATAAATTTTTTAAAATTAATTATTATTTAATAATTCAAAGGCAATTAGTCTCGTAACGTTGTTTCTAACATAAATTGACTCTGAATAATATAAGAAACAGTGTCAAATCTGCTCATACGTTATACCGGTTTTAGAACATTTATATCATAATTCCATTATACATACTAAAAATTGACAATTTTTGTAATAAGTGACAGTGCAAATAGGTGAAAATTGCTTGAAAGAAAGGAATTATATTTTGTTATAATAAAAAGCATTGCTTTAAATACAGTTTGAAATCTGCACGTCATTGTTTCCGATATTATACATATCGTGACTTTCAAAACACTTCTTATTCATGTGACTAAGAAGTTGTGATTGTAAAGGAAATGATCGTGAAAAAAATAATTATTATTATATCAAATATAATGTGTGTGTGTGTGTGTGTGTGATGATTTACGTGTAACACATATTAGTAGAATATGAATAAATATCCCACACAGTACAAAGCTCCGATTAAGTTTCCAGGGAGTTCATTTTGCTGAGCTCTCAGGGAGCAAGTCAAATTTCATATGCTCCCTGAGAGCTCAGTAAAATGAACTCCTTGGAAACTTAATCGGAGCTTTGTACTGTGTGGGATATTTATTCATATTCTACTAATATGTGTTACACGTAAATCATCACACACACACACACACACACATTATATTTGATATAATAATAATTATTTTTTTCACGATCATTTCCTTTACAATCACAACTTCTTAGTCACATGAATAAGAAGTGTTTTGAAAGTCACGATATGTATAATATCGGAAACAATGACGTGCAGATTTCAAACTGTATTTAAAGCAATGCTTTTTATTATAACAAAATATAATTCCTTTCTTTCAAGCAATTTTCACCTATTTGCACTGTCACTTATTACAAAAATTGTCAATTTTTAGTATGTATAATGGAATTATGATATAAATGTTCTAAAACCGGTATAACGTATGAGCAGATTTGACATTGTTTCTTATATTATTCAGAGTCAATTTATGTTAGAAACAACGTTACGAGACTAATTGCCTTTGAATTATTAAATAATAATTAATTTAAAAATTTGTTAATTTGAATAGTGCAATCTTGCTTCAAAGATTTTAGTCTTGATTAAATTTTTGTTAATATACGTATTCCCTGCATTCAATTCAAGACTAAAAGTCTTGCATCAAAATATAAATTCAATCAAATCAAAACTAAAATTTTTAAAACAAGATTACAATATTTTTGCTTATGTTATTTTTTATTAGTCACTGCAATTTTGTATTACACTTTTTGTATTCAATTTCTGTAACAAACACATATAAAGTAACCTGAAAAGTAATTTATAAGTAACTTATAAAAAAACTGTCCCAACTTTGCTTATAATACTACTTTCACTTTAAAAGTGTTAGAGGTAATTCTGTTTAGGAGTAACAGTACACGATCTTGCTTTCTCTCCGGCAAAAATTAATTATAACTGTCAACTTAATTGAGAAGTGTAAGCATTAATGGAATATGAAATATTACGTGTCAGCAACGGTACATTAAATTGTTAAGTACGACATACATTGCAATCGTTGTCTGATGCTCAGTATTAATTTTATGATCGTAATGTTGATTTTACATTTCTGAAATTGATAAGAATGATGATTAATATAATAACAATATGATAAAATAAATAAATAAATGATAATTATAATTAAAAGGTAAGAATAAAAATATAATTGAGAAATAAATATAGTTATTACATAGATTGTCAAAATATAAGCAATTAATATAACATAACACGATGATGAAAAAAGCTAAAATATTTCAAATTTGTTGAAATATTATTCTATATGTATAAATTGTGATTTTTTCAAGATTTATTATTTAATTAAGTCCCTACTATTTTTGCAATTTTTCAAATAACAAGAATGCCAGAAGTCAATGGAGTAAGGTATTTACATTTGGCGCAAGTTGTATATTAATAGTTCACTAACATTGAAATTCTAGCAAACAAAAGTAAACGAAATTGTAAATAGGAAAAGCCTCACATTTGTAACAAATCTTGATTAAAAGGTATTTTTTATGATTAGCGCTTTAAGGGGATCCTAAAGCTGTCTGTATTACCGACTAAATCGTAA